CGCGCAGACCTCTCCTGCCGCCCGCTGCTCCCCTCAGCAGTGTACTTCGGTCCTTCTCCCCGCTCTGGCTCTGGTGAATTCTCTCACCCTCCCGTGCTTCTGACTGTACCCAGTGCATGTATAAACAAAACAAACAAATAAATAAATAAAACATGCCTCTATTAAAAAAAAAAAAAAAAAGAACACAATGTTGTGCACGCTTGTGTTTGGTCATTAAAAAGGACAATGTTGGGCCTCTCTGGTGGTGCAAGGGGTTAAGAAACAACCTATGAAGCTAACTGCAGCCTCTGCAGCACGAGTTTGATCCCCAGCCAGGGAGCAACCCACACGGTGCAGCAGACCTCTCCTGACTTGCCCACTGCTCCCCTCAGTGGTGTGTTTCAGTCAGTCTGCCTGTTCTGTTCCCCACTCTGTCTCTGGTGAATCCTCTCACCCCCCGCACCTCTGGCCTGTACCCCCATTCTTGTATGTATAAATAAATAAATCTAAAAAAAAGGGACAATGTTGCAGTAAAATTAAGGTGCAGCTTTATTAAATTAAATTAAGTTTATTAAATTAAAACCCAATTCTTATATTATTTTCTTCTAATATTATTTTTTTTTGATGGGGAGGGGGTGATTCATGAAATCTTCATTTGAGATAATGAGAATTTTAAGTTTTTTCCCCCACCGCTTCCCCTCTTGAGAATTTTCAGTTTGAATGAGTGAACAGGGGAATAAAATTTAACCTTTGGATTTATGGGGTTTTAATGGTCTTTTAGGTCATTGTCTTCTATCTTTGAGTCATGAAGACAGCCTAGCTCCGCACTCAGCTAATGGCTCAATCATTGAGCGGCAGAGGGCAGAAGTATTGTCAAATTCTGGTTATGTGGCCAATAGTGCTTCAAGGCACTATTCCGTTGTAGGTTAGCTGTATTTAGGTGGGATGTCAGTAAAATGTATTTATCGCCTTAGCATTGGTTGTGCTACATAAAGTTTAATTTATCATACAATATTTTACTAAATGGTTTCTTTTGTTTGCTTAAAAAACATTCTTGCAGGTTATTACAAAAACTGACTGTGGGCTGGATTTGGTCAGTGGGTGGTAGGACCAGTGACCCCTTCTGTTGGCACTGGATTCTAGACAATGTTTTCTGTCATTAGGATGTTGTGAAGACATCCATGGCTGAGACATTTCCTCCCAGCTTCCTTACCTGTGAAAAAGAAGATATTCCCTATCTGTAGGGTTCTTGTTTGAAACTGAATGAGATAATGCATAAAGGGGCTTAGTCCTGTGTTGGGCACATGGTAAATCTCAGTTGTCAGTATTGTTATTGCCAACACAGTGAGACCTAGAAAATGAAACCACGTGTTTTAAGTCTTTCACTTCTCCCTCCAGTTGTCGCACAACCAGAATACTTGGTAGGTCATGGAGTTGAGATGTATCTGGGCATGACAGCCTCTCCTAGACTATGGTAGTTGGCCAGGGCTGTTATAACAAAGTACCACCAACTATGAGGCTTAAACAACAGAAAAATATTTTCTAACAGTTCTGGAGGCCTGAAGTCAGTTGTCACCAGGCTTGGTTCCTTTTGAGGACAGTGAGAGAGAATCTGTTCCATGCCTATTCCCTACCTTCGGATGGTTTCCTGGCCATCCTTGGTGTTTGGTTTATAGACACATCACCTTTGTCTCCTCCTTGATCTTCACTTCTCCTTTCTCCCTGTGTGTGTCTATGTCCAAATTCTCCCTTTTATACATATACCAGTTACACTGGATTTGGACCCACCCTAGGGACCTCATTTTATTGATGACCTTTGTAAAGATCTTAACTCCAGATAAGATCACTTTTGAACATTCTTTTTCTGGGTCTTGGACTTACCATATCTTCCTTTGGTGACACAATTCAGCACATAATGTAACTGCTGGCTGAAGCCAAAGACTGTTCCAGGTGGTTCCCCAGGGGTTGCTAGTGAGGATAGACAGCCCCAGTGAAAATGTTAAAAAGTATTAAATTTTGGGGTAGAGCGAATGATAAGAAATAAGTTGCAGAAGCAGCCCCGGATTATTCAGTGTTTGGGGTTCAGTGTTTGAGGATTCAGTGTTCGGGATTCAGCATTGGAACTTTCAGCATTTGAGATTCAGCACTTTTGGATCTTCAGCGATTTAGGGGTCAGTGAGTTCAGACCCCACCAAGCCGATCTTCCAGAAGGCTGTTGTGGGCCTGTGAAGGTGGAGGCCTTCATCAGCCAACCTCAGAGAGGAAATGTTCGGAGGCTTTGCAATTAGTTGAGTGGCTGAAACTGTTCCCAGTTTTGCTACTGTTACTGCCTGGCAGAGAAGGTGAAGACCCAGAGTGAGTGCCTCCCTGAGCTGTGTGAGTGTGGCCGTTTGTTGGGTTGTTTGGCCCATGTTTGGCGCTTGACTGGTGTTGTGCTGGGGCATCCCGGCAGTTCCAGAAGCATCTCCTGTTATCTCTTCTATTGTCTTTGTGAGTTGGAACCTGGCCTATAGTCTGACTTCCACGTGCTCCAGACAGGAAGATGCCATCTTGGGTGTGTGGTCTATTGTTTGGGAGAAGAGCTCTGTGTCCGCAGTGGCAGGAAGAAGCCATCTTAGCTTGTTTTTTTTTTAGGACTTGAAAACACTGGACACTGCTTTGGGTGAGGTAAATGGCCATTTTTGGTCTCAGTAACTCTTTGTTTTCCCTTGGTTTGTTGAATAAATCTTTTACACTGTTGTTCTCTGAGCCTGAGTAGTCTTGCAATTGTGTACACAGGTGAAGAACTCAGACAGTGACTGATAAACTGTTTGGACAGTGTCCTTGGCCAGTTTTAGTGCCCCTTGATGCCCTGTATCAATAACACCAACTCTCCAGCATCTCAGGCCACCCATCTGCTTTATTTTCCTTGTCGAATTGTGTTGGGGTTGAAGTGGGGTGATAGGCATCACAGGAGACATGGAGAAGCCAGAGCTACACCAGGGTGTGTGTTCTCAAACTCTCTGAATCAGGCTCCTTGGGAAGCTGCTGAAAGGCCAAACTCCAGCTTCCAATGTCACCCCAAAGGACTATAATTGTAACAGGGTGGTCCCCAGGAAAGGGGGAGGTTTCAGGTTTCCTGCCTCACCCAAAAGGAGGGTGGAGCTGAGCAGGGAGAGAAGAAGCTGCAGAGGAGACGGAGGAAGGAAGGAGGCAGGATGGAGAGCCAGAAAGAGACCTAGAGGAGGCACATGGAGCCGAGAGACACGAGAAGAAACTGTGCTTAACTTTTGGTTGTGGACTGGGTGAAACAGATGTGGGTGAGAGACCCGTGGGGAGGATAACAATGGTGGTTTTTGTCTTGATTTTGATTTTTTTCTTTTCCTCCCAGACTTGCCTCATTGTTTCTGATCCTTTTCTGTGGGTCCCCAATGAAAGGTGCTTTAGACTTGTGGCAGGCTTTGGGTCCTAGTTCTGGGCCAATCCTGCTTGGGTGGACTTGTACCCACGAGGTGACGTGTAACTTTGGATGCTTGATTTAGAAACTATATTCCTTGCTTTTCCTGTATTGTTTACTAATTGTATTAAAGTTCTTTTCAATTAGAGTCTTATATGTTTTGTGTTGATGTGATGGATGGCAGAACCTATTTAGAGCAGGCAGGTTTGAGGGGCCTGGGGTGCCCCTCTCCCTGCCCTGTAACATAATCTCCATGTGGAAGAAATCACAAGTTTTGGGGAAAGGAAAATGAATTGTAGAGGTAGAAGTCAGATTAAAGAGCACTGCTGTGAAGGTGCCCCGGGGCCAGTCTTTTCTTTGTCACGGATCAACAGAATTATAGTGTGGAAGCGGGGGGCCTCTCCCCTTTCTTTCTCCTTCCACCCCTTACCCATCAAGCAGGCATTTTTTTCCCTTTTTTTAAGATTTATGTATTTATACATATAAGAGCTGGGGTATAGGCCAGAGGTGTGGGGTGGGGGGTGGGTGAGAGGATTCACCAGAGACAGAGCAGGGAGCAGAACAGGCAGATTGACTGAAACAAACTGCTGAGGGGAGCAGCGGACAAGTTAGAAGAGGTCTGCTGCGCCATGTGGGTTGCTCCCTGGCCAGCCGGGGATTGAACTCATGCGGACGAGGCTGCAGATTGCTTCACAGTGCTGTGCTTAACCCCTTGAGCCACCAGGGAGGCCCAAGCAGGCATTTCTTTATGAAATATTTTATCTCCTAAACTCCTGCCTTTCTCATATGAAAATGATGACTATCAGAGACAATGGATTTAAGGTATGCCTGTTTCCCCGTCCAGAAATTAAACAGTGCCCAAAGAAGTCATTGTTTCTACCATGTGCTTTTCTCAAAAGTAGCTGCTACTTTTTCTGAGAAACCCCACCCATCTCGACACTCATAAACCAAACTCTACCTGGAAGGGGTTTTAGATGCAGCTGGTGGACCCCTTTCCCACCAGCCTCTTGTCTCAGGTTTGAATCCTTGATAGGGGGCTGGGAGGAGGGCAGGGCACCATTCCTAGGGCAGGAAACTTCACACACACACACACGCACACACACAGCACAGGCTGCAGGCACTCACCATATGACTGATGGTCTGTATTCTTTAAATTAAAACTCTTGCTTTAAACTGAAATTCCTGCCCCGATGATGCCCAAATGAGTGCCAGACATTGACACCATCAGATATTAACCAAGCAGGCCAGGATGTACCAGGGTCAAGATAACACAGAGGCTGATAGCTGAACGGGAGGAATACCAGGAGCATCTGCTCTGATGGGCCACTTGCTGATGACTAACTGACTTTGTCTAAGCCATTATAAAAAGGCCAGCTAGAGGTGATATGGCAGAGTGGTTTCTTCAGGGTGTTATCAGGGACCTCTCAGATCCCTGGCCAGCGATCTGAAAAGTGAAAACACTTACAGCTTCAATTCCTGTCTTTTTGGTAGTGACAGGCAGCCCCAGAACCCCAGCTCATTCTGCTCTCATCCTCATTTTGATTATCTAGCAAACTGTCTGACTTCACTGAGATTTTCATTCTAGTTAACAGTTTGGTGATCACACAGAAGAAACCCACAAGGATCCCCAGAGACCCCTTGGGACATCAAGAGGACTTGGGGCGATGGTACCAGTGGGCCCACTGAGCCCACCCTGCCCACCCCCACCCAGGCAAGGGTGAGTTCCTCCTGGATCTTAGACCTCCCAGTTAATACATGATGGTCCTTAAGTTTACTGGATAATTGTTTTAGGTCATCCAGTGGACAGGGGAAGGGTATTCCAGGATAAGCTGCCCAGGTTTCCTGGTTCTAAAACCAGTAGACTGAAGGAGTAGGTTTATGGCCCAAACTGGTATTTTTACATCCAGTCACTGGCCACTTACTAATATTCAAGCAGCCACAGGCTTGCAAGTGGTTTCCTAAATGGAAAGAGATCTCATTCTAAAGTACATGAAACTAGAACATCAGCTCAAAAAAAAAAAAAAAAGGAACAAAATGCATGGGATACATATATATATATATTTTTTTAAAGATTTGTTTTTATTTATTTATACGAGCACTGGGTACAGTCAGAAGCGCAGGAGGGTGAGAGAATTCACCAGAGCGGGGAGCAGAGCAGGCAGAAGGACCGAAGTACACTGCTGAGGGGAGTAGCGGGCAGCAGGAGAGGCGCCATGTGGGACCCTCCTCCAGTGGCTGGGGAGCAGCCAGGGATTGAACCGGCGCTGCAGAGGCTGCGGGCAGCTTCGCAACCCAGCGCTCAACCGCTGCGCCACCGGGGAGGCCCGGGATACATATTTTGAATAGTCCTGCAGGAACTCAGTTAATCCTGACTCAAGACTGTCTCAGAATTAAAAAACAAAAACAAAAACAAAAACACCTAGACTTGCTTAAGAAAATAAATGGATGTAAGTGGAATAAATCTTGCAGCAAGAAAGTTTTATAAAGAGAAGGGAATGAGGCTATCAAGGAAAGGATTATTTCAAGCAAAACAAACTTACTTATTTTATTCCAGATTTATTAGATTGGATAACTGTTCAAAATCTGTTTCTTCTTTTTTTGTTAAAGCTACCTGGCTGGCCGGGGATTGAACGTGTGCCTGCTGCAGAGGCTGCAGATAGAGCCACTGTGCGGTGACCCAACCCCTTGGGCCACCAGGGAGGCCCTAGAATTTGTTTCTTTTAACTCACTTAAGTAATTTCCCCAAATCTCTTTTGGAAGATTGAGGCTTACTACCCATAACAATGGGCATCCATTGAATATCTAAATCATTTTTCTGAAATGTCAATTACTGTACTATTTAGTTTGCTTTTGGCTTCTTATGTAGACTGAAAGAAATTTTGTGTCTATGAGTAAAAAGTATCTTAAGTCACCCAGAAAAATGGAAGCACATGCTTTAGAATTATAAAAGTTATTCATAAGTCTTCCAATCAAAGTGATAATTGTGTGATGGTTTTTATAACTGCTTACAATTTAGAAATTAGGAAATTAAGATTTTAAGTGTTTAGAGTTCTGATTAAAGTATAAAATTAAAGCTTGTTGAAAATAAGGTAAACAACCCAGTATGTAAAGAAAGTATGATGTGTGTATTTGGTTAAAAAAAGGAAGGTGTAAAGAATGGAGATATTTTTGTGATGGAAAAGAGAAATTTAATCTCACGATGAAACTTATTTTAAAAAGGGAAAGTAAAATATGCAGGAGACCTATGTGAGAGGAATCTTAGGAAAAGTTTCCGTCTGCTTAAAGGATGAAACTATTCTTAAGCGGTAGTCAGCCTTAACAGCTTATAAACTATTTAAGGAATTAAAGAGCTGGTGCTCTTTAAGCTTCAGGTTGATTAACTAAGAAGAATCTAGTCCTGACAGCATAGCGTTGAGCTGTTTTTAAAAGTCTTTGTTACTCTAGATTATTATTATTTTATAGAAATCTATGTAGATAAGCCCTTTTACTAGTTCTGACAAAACCTCCCTGAAAATCAAAATTCTTTATTTTTTTAAGGAAGTATTTTTTAAAAAAATATTTTATTTTATATAATTCTTACATCATTTTTCATCTTTGCAAAATGTATGTATTTTCATTTTGGTTATATTCCCCACATAATTGCACCCCCCTCCCTAATTTTGACTCTAGTTCTTCCTCTCCCCGCCCCTCCCTCGCCCGGGCCCCTCCCCCCGTAGTGTGTCTCTGGTTTATAGTTGCTTGTTGATTTTGATTATTACTTTGTATTGATTAGTCTTTTTCCTAGTCTCTTATTTAGGTTTTCTAAATTCCTGCTATGAGTGAGACCATCCGGTATTTTTCTTTTTCTTTCTGACTTATTTCGCTGAGCATGATCTTTTCTAGCTCCATCCATGTTGCTGCAAACTGCATGTGTTTATCTTTTTTGATTGCTGAGTAATATTCCATTGTGTATATGTACCACATCTTCTTGATCCAGTCATTATTTTGGGCATTTGGGTTGTTTCCATATTTTAGCTATTGTAAATAGTGCTGCTATAAATGTAGATGTGCAGGTGCCCTTTGGAATTACTGTTTCTGTGTCCTTTGGGTAAATACCTAGGAGTGGAATTGCTGGATCATATGGAAGCTCTATCTTTAGTAGGTTGAGGAATCTCCACACAGCTTTCTATAGTGGTTGGGCCAGTTTGCACTCCCACCAACAGTGCAGGAGAGTTCCTTTTTCTCCACAACCTCGCCAACATTTGTTGTTGCTAGTTTTTTTAATATGTGCCATTCTCACTGGTGTAAGATGGTATCTCATGGTAGTTTTGATTTGCATTTCCCTATTTACAAGTGATGTTGAACATTTTTTCATATGCTTGTTGGCCATTTGCATTTCCTCTTCAGAGAAGTTTCTTTTTAGCTCTTCTGCCCATTTTTTGACTGGATTATTTTCTTTGTTTTTGTTGAGTCTCATCAGCTCTTTGCAGATTTTTGTGATCAGTCCTTTATCATTAGTGTTGTGTGCAAAAATGTTCTCCCAGTTGGTGGGGTTTCTCTTTGTTTTGGTTATTGTCTCTTTTGCTGTGCAGAAGCTCTTTAATTTGATGTAGTCCCAGCTGTTGATCTTTGCCTTCACTATCACTGCTTTGGGTGATGTGTCTGTAAATATGTCTTTGATGTGCATATAATGTAGTGTTTTGCCTATATTTCCTTCTATTTATTTTGTTTTCAGTTCTTATGTCTAGTTCTTTAATCCATTTTGAGTTGTTTTTGTGCATGGTGTGAGGTAGTAGTCCAGCTTCATTCTTTTGCTTGCAGCGACCCAGTTTTCCCAGCACCATTTATTGAACAAACTTTCTTTGCTCCAATGCATAGTCTTTGCTCCTTTGTCAAAGATTAGTTGACCATAAATCTGTGGGTTTATTTCTGGATTTTCTATTCGATTCCATTGGTCTGTGTGTGTGTGTTCTTGTTCCAATATCATGAAGTTTTGATGATTATGGATTTGTAGTATAGTTTGAAGTCTGGGAGTGTGATGCCTCCATTCCCTTCTTTTTTTTCAGGAGAGCTTTGGCTATTCGGGGTTTTTGGTGATTCCATATGAATTTCATCAATAATTGTTCTATTTATTTGAAGAATGTTATTGAAATTTTTATTGGAATGGCATTGAATCTGTATATTGCTTTTGGTAGGATGGCCATTTTAGTCATGTTTATTCTTCCAATCCATGAGCATGGGATGTCTTCTATTTCTTTGTGGCTTCTTCTATTTAACAGTGTTTCATAGTTTTCTTTGTATAGGTCCTTTACCTCTTTTGTTAGGTTTATTCCCAAGTATTTCATTTTTTTTTTGATTATGAAAGGGATTTTTTTTTGATTTCTTCTTCTTCAGATTTATTGTTTGTGTATAGGAAGGCTACTGATGAAAATCAAAATTCTAAAATTATAAAGTCTGGTTGATTAAAAGAAAAAGAAATATGGGAGATCTTTGAAGGACTCTGAAGACGCCCTGAAAAAATCTTTCTCTGTCCTTGTGGAAAGAGGAATGTTCAACAAGCCTATTTTCGGTGTACTGATACTTTACGGGAAGCATTGTTGAAGCAGGAAGTTGCTAAGTCTGCTGCTTGGACTCTGCTTCTTGGACTTTGCTGCTTGCTGGAGCAGAAAGTTCCTGTTGGTGTGCCACTTGCCCACAGTAATAGCAACAGCTACCCTGGCCCCCTATGATGGATGGTGTAATAAGTTTCTGCATACAAACTACATAAAACCCTACCATTCCTGCAATTCGGGGCTCAGTCTTTTGGGAGCTCTCCCACTGAGCTTACCGACGTGACAAATAAATCTCTCTTTCTCCACCTCTCTGAGTGCCATCTGATTTCTCTTGAAAATTGCTTAACATTGTCACATGAGGCGAAATACTTAATCTTCTTAGCATGCATGTGAATGTTGATATGAGTCTTCTAAAATGATCCAAAATTTCCTAAAATGTGAAATGTTCTGGTGTAATATTATTACTTGTTAATTGTGGTCACTTGAAAGTATTATATCATCAAATCGAGCAAATTTCCCGTTAAATTGCATTATAATCCTATCTTAATTATGGTTATTTAAAAGTCTTTTTGCCATTTGCAAAAGTTACTTATTCAAATGCTTTATATTCAGAGGAATTCACAGGGAAAGGACTTTAACAAATACTCTACAAATACAGGTGAAACTAAGGGTAAAAAAATTACAGAATTTATGACAAAAATTAAACTCATAGTAGTTGCTAACAAGAAAACAAGATTCCTACATGGAATCTATAACTATAGAGCTGTAATATCAGTTTTAATGATGTTTTACGTGAAATATTACCGGTTCTTTTGTGTTTTTATTTTACTAGATTTATGAAAACATTTCCTGTGGACTAGACTGGATCCTGAATTTTTCTAATGTCTGGGCATAATTTCTCAAACTAACATATCCAGTTAACTTTTCTCCCAATCTTTGAGTTGGATTGATAAAAATCCTTATTGTCCTTTTCCAAAACCACACAAGCTGGAAATTTGATGTATACTTTGATGTCTGCTTTTGCGAACTTGATGTCTACTTTGGAGGGTTCGACACAATGGCTGTGCATGGACATGACTGAATACTGTTTTCTAAATACTGGGTCACACCTAGAAATCTCAAATGGCTCCTCTAAGGATTCCCAATTGAACTTTTGGTTTGCTTCAATCATTAACCTTTGTTTTTTCCATAAAAAAACCCTCATTATTGAGCCTCCCTGGTGGCACAGGGGTTAAAGTCTCAGCATTATCAAGCTATGCCAACCACTGTGGCATGAGTTCAATCCCCAGCCAGGGAGCTAATTCACATGGCGCAGCAGACCTCTCCTGTCTTGCCCACTCCTCCCCTCAGCAGTGTATTTTAGTAGATCTGCCTCCTCTGCTCCCCACTCTGTCTCTGGTGAATCCTCTCACCCACCCCCTCCCACCTCTGGCATACACCCCAGTTCTTGTATGCATAAAAAAGCCTCATTATTGTTGACACCCACCTTTATGATGGCCTCCAGGAATTGGACACACTCTTTTTTTTTTTAAATAATAAATTTTATTTTTATATTCCCCATACAATTGCAACCCCCCCATTCTGACCCCAATCCATCCCCTCCCGCCCCCCACTCCCCAAAAAGTGTCTCTGGTTAATAGTTTTTTGTTGATTTTGATTTTCACTTTCTTATAGTTATTCATTTTCCTGGTCCCTTATTTAAGTTTTCTAGATTCCTGCTATGAGTGAGACCATCGGTATTTTTCTTTTTCTTTCTGGCTTATTTCACTGAGCATGATCCCTTCCAACACCATCCATGTTGCTGCAAATTGCATGTGTTTATCCTTTTTGAATGCTGAGTAATATTCCATGGTATATATGTACCACATCTTCTTGATCCAGTCATCTGTTTTTGGGCATTTGGGTTGTTTCCAAAGCTTAGCTATTGTAAATAGTGCTGCTATAAACATAGGGGTGCAGGTGCCCTTTGGAATTGATGTTTCTGTGGATACACTCTTTAATTGGACTCTGTACTAACTTATATACAATGGGTAAATTGCTATAACTGATTGGGAGATTGAATTACAACCTCCAAATAAAATTACTTACATGGGCCATTTCCTGCCTTCCCTGGGGGAAATATTAGGAATCTTGTTCTCTGTTTTAAGCTGATTAAAATCTATACTTTTTTTCCTTTTTGTAGCTATGTTTTGTAAATATTACTATATTATAGTATATAATATATGTACACAACATGATCTGTATTAATATATAATATACTAGTGTATGATATTGGAGTTATATTATGTTTTCCTTTTAAATACATATAAAATTGTAATTGGTTGTATTTGTAAATAAGTTACCTCTGCTGATGTAATGACATGGATAAGGTTCATTGTTTTTTTTTCCTTTAGTGAAGACTTATAATCAGCATTGTCTTGAGTGTCAGCTCTCTATGTGGGTATGAGAGAAGGCAATAACCAGGAGTCTCTCAAATTCTAAGGATTGGGTTAGAATGGATTCAGAATATAGCATTTTACCTGCACAGGTAGAAGGGTGCACCTTGGGTCCAGTGACATGGGCTGGTCATGACAATATGACTTTAGGTTGATCATATGACCTCAGAGGTATAGAGAAAGGAAGTCACAAGGTTTGGGCAAAGGAAAAGGAAAAGCAGAGGTAGAAGCTATCAGATCAAAGAGAACTGCTGGAGGGTGCCTTGTCAGCCTTGCCCTTTGTCACAGATCAACAGATCATTGCTTAGAAGCTGGGCGCACACCCTGACCCCACCAGTGACCCCACCAGTGATGTCCCACCAAATAGGAATTTCGTTAGGATAAAATTTTTTATTTCCTAAGTTCTTGCTTTTCTTACATGAAAATGATGCCTACTGGAGATAGTGGATTTAAGACATGCCTGTTACCCTTCTGGAAATTAACATATGCCAGCAAAAAATAGTGCCCTTGAAAAGAAGTCTTTGTTTCTGCCATGTGCTTGCCTCATGTGTAATTCCTACTTTTTCTGAGAAACCCCACCTATCTTGTCACTTTATAAACCAAACCCTACTGAGGGGTGAGTCACAGAAGCAGCTGGCAGGGAGCCCTTTCCATGTGTCTTCTTCCAAGTCTGAATCTTCACTTTCATTGTCTGACAAACTCTTTGTCTATCACTGAGACTGTTAACTCCCAGGAGCCAAGTCCTTGTGTCTCCTAATACCCTGAGAGGAGAAGGAATTGGCCCCAAGAGGAGGCCACAAAGCACCCTGAGAGATCAAGGCTGCTGGTTTCTGTAGCAAATAATAAGTGAGTTAATTTCTGCAGATGGGTTCAAAACCATTTCCCTTAGCAAGCCCTTAGGAAGCATAGCAGTATAATTGGCTAATGTACATTGTCTTCATCATATTAAAATTAGTGTGGCTAGTCTTTCTTTTGACTGGTATTATCTATATGGCAATTCTATAAGTGTAATACCACAGAGAGGGCCAATTTAAGGCTATTTTGAAGTGTTCCTTGCTAGTCCAATTTCCATTTGTCTCTTTGTGACAGATTTTCCATGTTACACTATAGTGTATTATTTACTTGTTTTTATTTCACACTAGGGTCTGAAAACCTTGAAGGCAGTGATGGAGTCAGAGGCTGCCCCAGGTTGTTCCTAAGTGACATGCTGATTATTTTGAACAGAAAGAAATTAAAAGACAGAAGATTCAAGACTTTCCCCCCTAATTATCTGTGTTCCTAAAATTAGGAAATCTCTGTCCTGGCCCAGGAGGTGGGAGATAGCTTTTAAGCTGTATCACCCAGGCCATGGCTTGCAAAGTCTGTTTTGGATGCATATGTAATATGCACCCTGACAATTCCTTTTTCTTTAAATTGAAAAGTTCTTTCTTTTCTCCTAAAAGTACTGTACCCCTTCTAGAGACTATATAACTTCACTGGGTTGACCAGATGGAGTGAACATTATTTTTTGTGTGGGCCTCTATGTGCATATAATTAAAGCTTTTTTTCTTGCCAATCTTCCATATGTCAGTTCTATTATTTTTCAGCCTACCAACATAGAAAGATAGAGGAAGATTAGTGTCCTCCTCCACAACAGGGACAACACACATTTCTGTGTTCCTGGCAAGGAGAGGTGGGCCTGGAACAGAGACATGACCAACACCTTTTCTATCCTAGGACTGAGATAGGTCACTTTGCTGGTGACCTTCCTCAGAGCTGCCTTTATATCATTATTCCCCAGGCTATATAGATAGAAGGGTTCAGCATGGGCATGACCACTCCACATACCAGGGCAGCTGCCTTGTCCTTCTTGGGGGAGGATGGAGATGATGGCTGTAAGTGCACAGCAAAGATGGTGCCATAGAACAGTGAGACCACGGCAAAGATGGTGCCATAGAACAGTGAGACCACAGTGAGGTACGAGCTGCAAGTGGAGAAGACTTTCCATTTGTTCTCGGTCCATTTGCCCAGAGCAAATGGAAAGACTGCCCAGAAAATGCAGATGGAAGACAAGAGGATGCATTTGAGGGGACTGAACCTCGAGATGATACCAAAAGCAAAGATCACCAACTTAATGGTGTGTGTGTCTGAGCAGGAGCGTTTCAGTAGGGGCATAAGGTCGCAGAAGAAGTGGGGGATTTCAGAGCTGGCACAGAAGGTGAGCTGAGCCATGAGACAGGTGTGCACATGGAGCCCATACACATGGAGCTCATGATTACCGAGTAGTGCAGAGTATGGACAATGGTCAGAAACCGGTCAATGGCCATTATAGCCAGGAGAAAGCTGCCCATGGTTCTAAGCAAATGGAGGGTGTACATCTGGGCAGTTCACCCCACAAAAGGGGTGGTTCTATTCTGGGTTTGGAGGCTCACCAGCATCATGGGGCTTGTGGTGGAATAGAAGAAGATGTCATGATGGACAGGCTGGAGAGTAAGAAGTACATGGGCGTGTAGAGGTGGGAGTCTGAGCTGATGGCCTGGATGATGAGTGGGATTCCAAATATGAAAGATTAGTAAGAAAAAAAGAGTAATTAATAAATGCACGTGGAAGCCATGTTCTCTCCATCTGGTCAACCCAGTGAGGTTATATAGTCTATAGAAGGGATGCAGTACTTTTAGGAGGAGAAAAAAAAAAGAACAAAGAACTTTGCAATTTAAAGAAAAAGGAATTGTCAGGGTTTATTACATATGCATCCAAAACAGACCTTGCAAGCCCTCATCAGGGTGATACAACTTGAAGGTTTTCTCCCATGCTTCAAACACAGTGACCAGAAGGGACCAGTGCTCTGGCTTTTCAGAAAGTCTCAGGATGATGAACTCTAATACTCTTGTTCATTTTTTTTTGTTCCATGGGCAGCTGGGGTCTACTGAGGGAAAAAAAGGAGGTTGGTGGTTGTGGGGTAAATGATTCTCAGGCTTTTTGGTCCTTCTGCCTCAGGATTGCTTTGCCTGATGGGGCACCTGCCATTTGTTACATTGTTATAAGTTGTGTTGTTTACTTCTGTGGGCCATGGCAGAAGTACTGAGATAGTCAGGAAGAGAAGCAGAAGCAGGAGAGAAGCAGGGGAGAGAAGGGGGAGAAAGAATGACAGAGAAGCCCAGAGTGAAGACTTGCCGGTTGGGGGTGGGGGTGGGGGTGTAGAGCGGGGGACCCTGCCTGCCGTGTACGTTGTTGCTCCTATACATGTAAAAGCTCAATAAAAGCCTGAGAAAGCTACTGAGGGCTCCAGGACTCTCCTTTACCCGGTCTGCTCTGATCATAGAAAACCTTCCCTGTGGCCTTCCTGCCACTAGTGGTGGAGGGGAGGACGAAATATAAGTATGGGATTTCTGGATCTTGGGAACAGGAGGTGGTGTCCCAGTTGCAGCTCCCCTTGGAGGGTGGTCTACCTGATTTTGTAGTGTTCTCAAGCATCCCTTGAATCCTTACAGTGAATCTCTTTGTATTAAGCTACTTTCAGTGGATTTCTTTTTCCTTAAGTGAAGCCATCAAGCTTGAGAGAGTATGTGACTCAAAGACCTGCCTTCTCACTGAGAAGAGCAGAAGTGCTTCAGCAAACCCTTACCATGAGCTTTTATCATCTCAGAATAGCAGTCATTATATTTTTCAGGGCATAAGCTAGAAAAGTAGATAAGTGGATGTTTCAAATTAAGTTTTCAATACAGATGGCCAATAGGCACATGGAAGGACATTATCATCTCTTATTACTGTGGAAATGCAAATTAGCAATGCGATATCACCTCATACCTGTGAGGATGGTTATTGTTCAAACGACAAGAAGCATCAAGTATTGGAGAAGATGTGGAGACGGGAACCCTTGTACACTGTTGTTGGGAATGTATATTGGTGCAGACATTATGAAAGCAGTGTGGAAATATTAAACATTTAAAAATGTAATTTCGATGTGATCCAGTTTGGTATTTAACCCAAAATATAAGAATAGAAATTCAAATGAATATATAACCCTCATGTTTATTGCAGCATTATTCATTACTAGCTAAGAGCTGGAAACAACATAAGTGCCCGTGGATAGATGATGGGTAAAGAAGATGTTTTACACACATATAAGACACAATGGAAGACTACTTAGCTATAAAAAAGGATGAAATCCTGTCATTTGCAACAACATGGAGCAATCTAGAGTATATTGTGGCTAGTGAAATAAATCAGATGGAGAAAGGCAATCAGCATATAATTTCATTCATATATGGTGTAGAGACAACAGACAAAAGGATGAACTAAACAAAAACAAGCTTTTAGATTATAAGACTAATTAGAGGTTATTAGAAGGGAAGAGGGGAGGAAATTGGCTACAAAGGGTTAAAGGAGTCAATTGTGTGGTGAAAGATAGATTAGAACTTTTAGTGGTGAACTTCATGTAGTATATACACATGCTGATTCTTAATGATGTCTACCTGAAATTACATAATGTTATAATGAATAAATCAATAAAAATAAAATGAGCCGTCACCATAAAAATATCTGGAGCTTTGAAGTTAGTGAAGATTTAGAGTGATAGTTCACCACCAATGGTAGCTTTCTGGGATAAGTAATTTTATGTTCTAGACACTGTCACTGGCAATTGAAACAGTTTTGCACCCTCAGTAAATTATATGCTGTTATATCATATCAAGCGGTGTCTAATGAGTTTGCTCAAGATAAAAACTCAGACACAACTTGGACTGTTCAAAGGAAACTGTTTTCATAAATACTATAAAGTTGGGATCAAATTCCTGCTTGATGGAAATCAAAGTGCTCATCTCTGTAGCTAGCAGGGTGACACATGCTGTGGCTGATAAAATGACATTCTGACATGAGCTGATAGAAAAGTAATGACAGTGATGAATCTACGAGAACAAGTTTTAAAGAAATGCAAACACTTAGTCGTATTCTGATAATATCTCCACCCCATTTAAAATTACTAATGTGCATAACCCTTCTATTTTCCCTTCTCTTCAGAAAGGAATTTGTAACTCATCCTCGGCCATTTTATTCTGTAGAGGTAGGGGATTTGGCTTTAGCAATTTGGGACTTGGGATCAACTTCATGTCAAAAACCTAGTGAAAGCAGACACTTGTTGCATCCACATGAGATCACAAAGCCTGACTGCATTTGCCTTTATAAGTCTCTGTTTCCCAGGGAGCATATATATCCTTCTTTACACTTACTGAATATTTATGGGAATGTGCTAAGTGCCAGGTACTATCCATTTCTCTTACAATACAAAAATAATCTAGAAAAAAACAATTCCAGAGAGGCATGATTTACTATGTTCTGTCCAGGAAAGAGAGGAGTTTCCTTTAATTCATTTTTTTTTAACCTGGTTGGGTCCCCATGTCTTAAAACCAGTTGTTGACAAGAACATGTCAAAGGAGTTGTGGACAGAATCTGTGTTGGGGTACAGATTCTTTCAGTGTCTATGTCCTCACAATGCCATGAGTGAGATGGAGTTAGCTACAACCAATGAGAAGATGGGATGAGAGAGATGCAGGGAGAGTCCAGCTTGCAAATGCTGAACTGAAATTTATTTCCACTCTCGTACACCCTGTTGCCTCTCTGAGTGTGGCTTCACTCTCCTTTAGGAGCAGAGGACTTTTGAAATTAAACTGTGCTTTCCACACATGCTAAGTATTGTTCTCTCCCTCCCCCCCCCTTTTTGATGCTCCTATTTGCTTCTAGCATTATTTTTCAGTCATTTACTTTTTTTCATTTTATTTACTTTAAGCATTTTACTTTAAATGTTTTCATTTTATTTACTTTATTAATTAATTTTTTCCTTACATCTTTGTAGTCCTCTTAGTTCTCTCACTGTATCACCCATAAACCATTACTATATTTCCTTGTGTTCCCTCACCCCTGTTTTGACCCCCTCCCATCTGGTCCTTTGCTGTATGCATCAGTTCTATGGTCAGCTTGCTAGTTTTGGCTTTTTCTTGATCTTTCATTTGGTTTCTCTATATTCCACATATAAGTGAAACCATCCGGTATTTATCTTTCTCCTTCTGACTAATTTCAGCTAGCATAATCCCTTCCAGCTCAAATGGTATGAATTTGTCTTTTTTGATCAGTGGGTAATATTCCACTGTATAAATATACCACTACTTTTTGATCCAGTCATCTATTTTGGTACATTGGGTTGTTTCCATATCTTGGCTATTGTAAATAGTTCAGCCATTTACTTTGAACCTATTTTTATCTTTGGGGTTTTACATGGGGTTTCTGCAGAAAACAGAAAGTTGGATTTTGTTTTTGGATTCAACCACCCACTCTGTGCCTTTTGATTGGTGAGTTCAGTCCATTTACATTTAGAGTGATTATTAAAATATGGGTATTTTCTACTGCCATTTTGCCTCTAGTTTTCTAGTTCTATTTCTTTGATCAATTGTGGATTTTTTTTCTCTTCAACTTAATTAGGTTTATTCCTTTCAACACTTCTTGTAGGGGAGGTCTAGTGCTTGCAAACTCCTTCAGCTTTTGTTAGTCAGGGAAGGCCTTTATTTCTCCCTCACATCTGAAATACAGTTTTGCAGAATATGGTATTCTTGGCTGGCAGTTGTTATCTTTGGGTCCTTAGTACATAAATATCTTTGCATCTTCATTCGATCTTCCATTTGCTCTCTCCTATTTCCATAGCTTTCTTTAGAGTTCTTGATTTCATTTATTGATTTCTTTACCTCCTGAATTTTTGTTACTTTCTTACATATAATACAATTTCACCTTCTGTTGATTGGTTTTATCTCTGAGCTATTTAATTTGTTTTTCTCTTTGATTAGCTTTTCTGAGTTCTCTTGTATTTCTTTAACTTGCCTCTGAGTTCTCTTATATTATGTTGATTTGTTTTTTTTTTTTCCTATCTCTTTGAGTTCAGTTCTGAACTCTTTTTTTAGATTTATTTATTTATTTATTTATTTATTTATTTATTTATTTATTTATACATACAAGCACTGGGTACAGTCAGAAGTGCGGGAGGGTGAGTGAATTCACCAGAGCCAGAGCAGGGAACAGAACAGGCAGACTGATGAAATACACTGCTGAGAGGAGCAGCGGGCGTGGCAGGAGAGGTCTGTTGCGCCATGTGAGACCCTCGCCGGCAGCTTCCCAGCCCAGCGCTCAACCGTTGTGCCACCAGGGGAGGCCCCAATTCTGAACTCTTTATCTGATAGTGAGATATAATTTTATATCATTTTGTGTTTGGATTCTGGAGGGTTGTTATTACTTTGTGATGATATACTTTCTTAAGGTTCCATATTTACATGTGTTACATATTTTTTGTCTGCCAAATTTGCTACTTGAAGCCTTTTATTTTATTATTGCTTTTAATATTATAATTAATTAATGCCTTAGCTGGCTTCTGTATTTACAAAGGTCTGAGTGAACAGTTGGGGGGAGGTGTTTTTGGAAGAATCTAGATGCTGGTGTAGATTAATTTTGGATGGGACTGGCTAATGTTTGTGGCATTCCTGATGTCCTCTCTGGGGTTTGGGATGAAGAGTTTTGGCA